TATGCATTCGAGGACAGCAGCGAAATACACCGATATTTGCGGTGGTTTCTGTGCTTATGACTAGTGTATACGTATGTGCAAATAAGCATGAGATGGTATGAAACCTGCAAGTGTAGATCTTGGGGGGGGTGACCATATATATATATGCGCAGTATGTATGTGTGTATGTATATATATATATATAATGTATATCATCTTCTTTTGAGGGCTCCTGGGTCGCCGAGGCCCAGGGCCGGAGGGTTGGGCAAGGCCAGATCCAGGTTCGCGTTCCCACGCAGCGTGGCCCCGTCCGCGAGCGCCGCCTCTCAGGAGAAGACCCGAGAAAAAGGGCGCGCAGCAAAAAAAAGAAACAAACCAAAACTGCAAAAAACGAAGCGGAGGCGGAAACGGAGAGACGCGGAGACTGCCGGCCTGCGGTGAGCTCCTTCCTCCCTCCGTGAGGGCCAGCGCGGAAGTTCCCTCCTCCTTGTTCCAAGGCATGTTCTCGAGCTCGCTGGTTGCCAATCTTTTCATCGTCTGTGCCTTGAAATCGGGGTGCCGCATCCTATACTGGCGTGTGTCAAGGAAGACGTGTTCTCCATGAGACATCACCGCCCGGATGGTGGCATCCAGCATCGCGACCTTGGCCTGGAATTTCTCCATCTCCTGCTCAAAGAGCGCGTACTGCTTCCGCATCGAATCCACGCCAACCTGGGCGACCAACAAGTCCTTCGATTTGGCTGGTCCTTTCATGCGAATGCAGCCGGTGATGAACTCCTCCGTTGTCAGCTCTCCACTTTCATCATAGTCCAGTAAAGCGAAGATTTGGCCGGGATCATCCACCGGAAAATCGATCATCTTCAACTTGTTGTAGATCTCGGGCTTCTGAATGGCAGCTTCGACCTCATCGATGGTCAGGGTTCCACTTCCATCTACATCGGCCATCTCGAAAATCTCCTGAAGCTGACTGAAGACTTGCTTTCGGTCCCGTTCACGCTTGGCTTTCAATTTGTTCTGGTCCTTGTTGGCTGTCGCCAGCGTATTCTCCACAACGACACCAATCATGATACTCATGAGGCCGAGGCTGGAAATGCAGACGAAGATCAGAAAGAAAATAAGCATTGCCGGCTGATTGGCTACAACATGGCGCACCACAGACTCGTTCCATTGATCCAGCGTCATGATCTGGAACAGTGTAAAAGTAGACCGCCAAACGGTCGCAAAGTAGACCTCGGGTGCATGCGGCGGACGAAGATCGCACAAGGCTGTGAAATTCCCCGGGCCACGGCGATTGGCAAACATGCGACTTCATGCGCAAGAGCATGCCCGCGATTTCTCCTCCGAATCTGGCGCGTACGGGTCGCGACGGCGACAGGCGAGCGCGGACGGGGGGGGCGGGGGGGGGCGCCCATTTCAATGCCATCCTCCATTGAAGAAACTCCGCTGCAAATGTGCCCCAGATCCCTTCGCAAACGGTTCCCCAGGCTTGCGGGCTTGGCGAGGACATCTTGAATGAGCGCAAAAGACGCCAAAAATTCAAACACCTCCGTGACTTCGCGTGCGACCCGCTCCCCTGCTTGTGGCCCACAGCCCTGGTGTGGTCGCCCAGATTTTGTACCCGGCAACCCTGCGCACAAGAGCCGGATCTTGAAAAAACAAGCTTCTGCCACCATCCTTTGCAAGAGCAATCCCAACAGAGCAATCCCTGAGCAAGAATCACGAAGTCTGAGGCAGTGAGTAGGTCAGAAATTCTCTGGCTCGTGGACCCTAGAGAGAGAACTGCAACCCTAAGGACAAAGGTGTGGAAAACTCAGAACCTCAACATGTTGGAAGACCTGTCGGAAGGAAGATTGACCTGTTGCGAGATGCACGCATATCTACTCACCCTCACATTTGCACAATCTGCACTGAATCTACACTCCTACTTCATGTAGAGACCACAATTCTCCAATGCCCATTTCTTGTCTGCATAAACGCTGTCTGCTGTCACCCCTGTGCCACTGCAAAGTAGTTTCGCAACCCCCGAAACCTTGATCTGCTCTTCTCTGCCAGGGAAACAGAACAAAACTGGCGGTCCTCAGGTTTTTTCAGGGCTGTGGAAAGACCACGGGAAAGCAGAGGAACCACCCATAAGAGATGTGTGCCCGCAAAGCAATCGCACGGTCGCGGCGATGCATACTCCCAGAAATCACAAAGAGGAGCAATCAGCAAGCGTCTGCTAGGTTTCTGTCGCGCTGATCTGAAAGTCTCCTGAATCCTCATAGCAGCAATAGACCAGCCACATGTCCTATATCCCTCTCGCTCATGTCCGCGGGTGGCGCCCGCCTCATGATCCCAGCCACCGGAAGTTGCGAAGTATGGATCGTAGAGATCGTCGTTGTGTCCGATGACCGTGGTTGTGATAATGGCCTGAGTCAGACCAGCGCAGCGGAGAAAGGGCCCCCATCGTGTCTTAGGCCCTGGCGCAAGCGTAGCAGAAGAGCAGGGCCACCAGACAGATCCATCCCAGCGTCTTCAACGACTGCAGGAGGCCGGAGACCATGAGCCACAGCTCTTTGAATAGCTTCAAGAGCCGCAGCAGCCGTGCCAAACGCATCATGCGCACGAAGCGCAACATCGCCACCACCTAAAGACGAGCCATGTGAAGTGGTGAAGTGAACAGCATGCCCGACGGCTCTGCGGCTACAGTTTTCGCGGCATTGCATTCACTCCTGGATTTCTTCTGCTTCATTGTGAATCAACTGCGTGAATTCCGGAGGTGTGTCTGTTTCTCAAGTTTCGGGGCGAGTTCCGGCCGCCCAGGCTTCCGTTTCGCGGTGCGGAAGTTCGGGCTGAGTTCTGAAACTCACCCTGGCAGTCATTCCCACGAGAAATGGCTCCCAGTGAATTTTCCGGCGTGAATTCCGGGATAAGTCCTGGAGCTCACCCCATGGTTCATCCGGAACTCCTTCTGAAATACACATGTCCCGTTAACTTTCGGATGGTTTTGGGGGTGAGGTGAGGTCACCCACCAAGCTCCGGAATTCATTCGGAAATCCACAACCCGCACGAAACGGCAGCCTTCGCGGTCGGAAGTCATTTCAGGAACAGACACGCCTCTGGAACTCACTTTCCAACTCACGCGAGTGACATGCAATAGCATTTCCTATGTGCGACTCCGGCATTCCTGTGTGCGACCCTGCCGGGTGCCAGGCGCGAGCAGTGCCACCGATGCCAAAGGGAATCAGGATCAACGTGTCGACAACGGAGACCGAGACGATGATGAAGTCCGCGATGTTCCATGCCCTTGTCACCGGATTCGTGAAATACCGGAGCCTATGGAAGTACAGCCGCAGCAGCAGTTCAAACAGGAAGATTATGCAAAAGATGAGCTCAACGATGTACCACAGGCGATCGTCATGCTCTTCTTGCGTCGCAACCGCGTGGGCCACTGAGTCTGTCTCCAAACCAATCGTCACCGAATTCAAGGCGATCACAACGCCCAAACCTCAGGTTTTGCTTGTTTCGTGTAGAAGAGAACTGGTGCCCCAAACGTGTCAATGCAGCCTCAGGCCCGCACACATATTGAAGGTGGGAGTATCGACAAAGGGCTTCGGCGGGCGTATTTCAGTGCCGTAGTCGTCATTGTCTTCTTCATCTGAATCCTGTCCCTGGCACAACTGGCACTGGCGCCAGCAGCTATCAGCTAGGGCCAGCTACTGATAGCGGCTGCGCTGGCTGGCCTGATTGTACTTCGCGACCAGGGCATCGATGGGATCCCGGTCTCCCTGCACGGCGCGCTTGAAGAACTCAGCCAGGGCAGGATACGACAGCGAACCGCCACAAAAAGGCTGCGACAATCTTCATATGCGATTATCACTTTTTCTCAGCGCCGGGCCCCTAACCAGGACTTGGTTTTGGGTTCGGGTGCCCGCGCGAGCTCTTCCTCCTCTTCATCGAGGTCAAGATCCTCTTTGGACCCGGCACCGGGTTTCTCCACCATGGCTACCCAGAAGTGCTGCTTCTCGAGCCTTGCAACATCTGGGAGAACAACGGTAAATCAATGGTACAATCTCTACCAGATTTATAGACTCTCTATGGGACCGACAGCAGCACATCATGGCTCGATCTCAGGATGTACCAGTTTCTTGGCCAGCATCTGCTTGTCTATGCCTTCCTGAGCCGTCAGAACATTTTTGACGCTACCGGCTCGCTTCAGGTGCTCGGCGTCGCGGCGACCTCACAGGAAGGCCAAAAGCCGAAAAGAGGAAAGGCCTCGTCGAAGGCTCTCTGACTCTCTGCCTGGCTCTTTGGTCGCATGGCCACCGTAACACTGCGTGCCGTCGCAAGGACATCCCGGAGCTGCTTGATGGCCTCTCGGACTTGTTTGGGGTTTCGAATGCTTGCTGCTGCCTAGTTTATTGTTGCTCTCCTCGGCCACCTTGTAGGTTTGCAAGACATCCTCCGAAGAGCAAGGCTTGACTCAAGCTCTGTCACTCTCTCTCTCTCTCTCTCTCTTTTCTTTCGCCAGGGCTGTGGACACAGGAGTTGCCCCCTGTGCCTCTCTCTCTCTCTTTTCTTCTCCAGGGCATGGGGAGTCGGTTAGACCCCCCGGCCTTTAGGCCCCCCAAATTTCATGGGGTTTTCANNTGAAAGTCTACATGTGTTCCGAAGGTTTCTGTAGTTTCCCCACTCTCTCTCTCTCTCTCTCTCTCTCTCTTTCTCTCTTTCTGACGGGTCGATCCTGGTGCCTGCGTTGTTGCATGAGGAGTTTTTGCGAGCTTTGTTTGTCTTTGTGATGCTTACGTGCTCAACTTAACCTTCTGTTTACAGGTCCTTGGTGAGCTGTATTGCATTGTTTGATGTTTGCGCCGCCTTGTCAGGATTCTTAGAGACACGGGGGCTGCTTTAAAACACGGGGGGGGGGGGGTTGTTTATGAACAACCGCGGCGCTCAAGGGTGAGGGGTGGGAGAGGGGGGGGGAGGCGCCACAGGTGTGGCTATGATGGCCCCAACATCCAACACCCGGGCCCCCCTAGAAAAGTGTGGAATCAGTTTGGGATACCCCGAGACTGGTTGGATAAATTCATGGAAACACACTGGTATTTGCGGTGGACTATGCCTGTCATTTTGTGAACACCTGCACAGGTTGTGTATAAACCCGGGCGTTGTTTATAAACAAGAGATCCGTCTGTAAACTTTTGGGTTGCTTAAGTGCAACAGCACATGTGTTCCCGTGTGTTTCACTTTCTGTGTATACAGAAATACACACATTGCAACAACGTGCAGCTGATTGGTCCAGGCTCCTCGACCGTCAACTAAACCTTATCTCTTGAACGGCTATGTGTAGGGATGGAGAGCATACAATGGCCTGGACCATACCGATTTGAGGACCCATAAAGGGCGATCCGTTATGGCTTGGAAACCGATCCGGTATCCACTGCAGCATTTTCTTAAATCCAAAAGATAGTGTTCCAAAGACTGGCTATTTTGAGAGGTGCTTTATAAACAATGGTGTTGGAAGAAGCTAGAACGGCATGAGCATCAACACAAGTAGGATTCCCGTCTAGGACATGAGTCAGATCTTCGTCGCTTCCAGTTTGTCCTTGGTAGTCATTATATGAAAATGCATAGGCTGAATCCGCAAAGGCTAGAGGTTTTAAGCTGCATAGGAACGTGTCGATGTACCCTGAGACTTTGTTTAAAAAGTCTGAAAATCACCATTATTCATAGTGGTTTCTTCTTGTAAAGGCTGCTGCACAAGAACCCCGATGTAGTGTTCTACCTAGACACTGGTATGGGTGCCTGTTAGAGAGCGACTTTGCACAGCTCGAACAGGCCGTTCGGAAAGTTACTTAAGATCCTTGCGTTGTGGCCTATGCCTTAGAAACCACACAAACACAAGCCCCTCCAACGAGGAGCTATTGCCTTTGAAACCCTACGAAGAAAGCTCTAGAGCCAAACCAAGGGCCACCGTCGGCCGCTTTCCGGACCGTAGCCCCAAATAACCTCTCTTTTTTGAGGTCTTGCAGCGAGCAGTCGTAGTAAGGAGCCTTACACCGGTAGGTTTTATAGGGTGCAAGTAAAGCTTAGTTTGTGCGAATCTTGCCATCCGTCTAGTGATGGAATCCCTGTGGGTCCCTATATAGTTAAGCCCCTATTCCAAATATTTAGGCTCGCTTACACTGTCTACCTTCTTCTCGGTAGTGGACTCATGGGTTGAGACATCAGGTAGCCTAAGCCCTAAACCCTAAGCCCTTGCGGACTACTCCTGACTTTGCCGCCATGGCTCTGGTGACGAACCCAATATAGACAGCAACAACTGTAACCCCGAGAAGAAATGCAAGCTTTGTTTTGTTTTGTTGTCAACATATTTTGAGCTTTTGCAGCTTTGTCAACCTTTCAGTTCCTGCTGCCTTTGGCGGGAGATCTGAGCAGCCAAGGGAAGGCTGTTGACATCTTAAAACCTACAACGTAAACTTGTTGTTATGTATACTATATATAACAAAATCCCATTCCATGCCGCCAACAGACACAGCCGAGGCCTGGCACCCAAGAAAAGTAGCAGCCCCGCTTCAGAGGCGGCATGCAGTGTTTTTTGGTCCGTGTTGCGCGGAAGGTTGCTTGCAGGGGTTCCATTAGCAGCATTTTTTGAGGGTTTGCTGTAGGTTACCAAAACTTAGTAGCTGAATGGGTGCACTTTAAACTTTTTGAGATAATATCATCCCCTATAGAACTTAAAGTCTACACATTTTTTTGGGCTTATGAACTCAACAACTAGAAAACGGCGAATGTGTTTATCTTGTAACTCTTTTGGCCTAAAGAGAGTTCTTATGTAGGTACTTTAGGATCAACGTATCTACTGGTATGGGTCTCGTAGGTCCTAAACCCTTAACCCTAAACCCCTAGACCCTAGGGTTTCAAATTGCGTTTTGGAGTTTAGGGTCTAGGGGTTTCGGGTTTAGGGTCTAGGGTTTAGGGAAGAGGGTTTACGGTCTAGGGTTTAGGGAAGAGGGTCTAGGGGTTTAGGGTTTAGGGTTTTGGGAGCATTTTGGAGGTTACGGATCGAGAGTGTGGGCTCCGGCCATAGGGTCTTGTGTTTGGGCTGAGCCGTAGGTTTGTCCTAGCGGTTTTGAATATCTAGTTAGGAAGTACTCAAGGTAAGGTTGGATCATGGGAGTAGAGGGTTCAGGGCCCTAAACCCTAACCCCTAAACCCATCTAAACCCTAAACCCCTAGACCCTAAATCCCTAGACCCTGAACCCTAAGCCCTAAACTCTAAACCCTAAACGCCTAAACCCTAAACCCTAAACCCCTAGACCCTATTTAAAGGATTTAGGATGAGCCCTACATCCCAGAGCCTACCAAGCTATTCTCTTCAGGGTTTGGGGGCCTTTCTTTAGTGCTCTTGGGAATGGGAAGACTTGTTTCAATAAACTCCAAACGATTAAGGTTTAGGATTGAGGGTTTAGGTTTGAAGGCGTCTCGGCCCGAGGCTTTTTCACTCGGGAATTTCGCTGAATGCGTGTTTCCGTGTGTAAAGTTGACCAGACCCCAGCGGTAGTAGGTAGTTGTTCCTTTTCATCTGCCATCGCCGCGCCGCATTCCAGCTCGAAGCTGGGTGCACCGGCACTCCGGCTCGGAGCTGGGTGCCTAGCGTCCTTCGTGGATGCTACACTGCCTTAGCCTG